TAAGCATGTATTTAAGGATTTAGCTACAAAAAATATAAACTTGCCACTGCTTATAAAAGCAAAATTTTTAAAGCACTCATCTATTAAGGACTAGTGAAGTGAATTATAATACAACCACATTTCAAAATACTCTGTAATCATTATAAATTGTGTGTAAAGTTAATATTTAATGACCTGAAAAAAATGCTCATAATATGACAGTATGAGAAAAAGCAAGATATAGTATAGTATTATGGTGTGGGTCCGATTTCAAAAGTACATGAGCAGAAAAGTCTACTTATTTCTGGATTGTGGAATTATAAATGTTTTTAGCTTTTTTATATCTTTTTAATATTTCTTTAATGAACATGTAATCCTTTTCAAATAAAAATATTAGTTATTTATTAACTTATTTAAAAGATTTAATTGTCCCATCAGTGAACTGAGATGAATTAAGTCTTACATTCAGTTCTGACCAGCCAGCTATGATAGCACACACACAAAAAAAAAAGGAATATGGATTCCAGGAAAGAGATCTCAACAGCATATCCACACCAAGGTCCATAAACCCTCTTCCCCTCGACACATACCTGGACAAATCCAAATGGGAAGAGACGCTCTGTCTGCCCCTGGGAGCCAAGGTGGAAGGTCTGGCGCCAGTCTTCAATGAGTGCAGGGAATGTGCAATTGTACAGGTCCATGTTCAAATGGACATTGGATTCCCCTAAAAACAGTCCACATTGTCAGAGGAGTTTGGCGTAGATGCAAAAATGGCCGCACATTACTCCCCAGCCTCTATCCATGCCCTTAGGAAGTAGGCCTTCCTGCAGTCTCTCTGGATTGGCTTAGTGACTTGCTCAGGCCAATGGGGCATCAGCAAACATGATACAAGCAGAAGCTTGGAAAGTGCTTCAGTCTGGTGGTCTGCTCTCTCTTCATACACCTGGAGCCCTGAGACTGCTATGTAAATAATAAACAAGTCTGAGCTGGCTTGCTGAACGATGGGAGGCCACATGAGAACCACGATGTCCCAGCAGATAGCTCCCAGTCAACACACATGAGGGACAGGCCATCCTAGGTCATCCAGCCATCAGACAACCTGCCAGGTGGCCAAAGACACATAAGAGATCCCAGCAGATACTAGCTGAAGCAGCCCAACCAGAAAAACCACCCTGCTAGCCCACAGAATGGTGGCCTAAATAAAGTTGTTTTTGTTTTAAGTCACCAAATTCTAGGATAGTTTGTTATGCAGCAAAGCTATCTGATACAATGGAGAAACAGCAAATTGAATACTCACCCTGGTACCATATCACGCCTTTTAGAGTCATGTTATGTAGTGGATGGATCATGGCATTCCAGAGAACAGAGTATTCATTGGGACCATATATATAATCAGATGGCATGAACCTGAAATCAATAAGATGCATGAGTGTCACGAGAGAGCTAATAATTGGTCACATCATGATCCCTAAGCTGGATGTCTATCCAACTTTCATGTGGGGCCAACTTCTGATGAAAGCAACAAAGAATTAAATTGAACCACTCTGTTTCACATGTGAACGTGTGAACAGTCTCTGAATTTCAACTCCAGGTTCTTCCCAGGATAAGTGTATTAGTCAGTTTTCTGTGAATTCAGGGTAGGCGATCCAGCTTCCAGGTAAGGTCATTAAAACCAGAGAGGAGGAATGTTTCATTATGAATCTCTCACTCAGGCAAGTAATTTATTTAACTAGTGCTCAATGGATAGACACTTAGACTGTTTTAAGCTTTTTTGCTTTATGAGCAATGCCACAATTCTCCCCCTTATAGATCAATCATGGCAATATAGGCTAAAGTATTTCCTTAAGATAAGTTTCCAGAAATAAAATGGCTAGGTCACAAGGAACATTTTCTTTAAGGCTTTGAATGTGTTCCTACATTTCTCTGTAGAATACTTGTATAAATTTATACTTGCAGCATCTGGGTAGGGGAACGCCCACTTCCCGACACCCTTGGAAATGTCCCTTCCATGTCCTCAGCGATGGGAAGCCTGGCTCCAGATTCCTCCCACTGTACCACAGGCAATTCTTTCTGCTCCAAAGCTGAATGTTTTCACTCCCCCGCAGGCATGCCTTTACCCAAACTAAACTAAGAGCTCAAGTCCACCCTCTTCCCAGAAGCCTGCCCAGAACTGATGAGGCAATGTCTGTACAATCATTTCAGATACTGTCAATCTCTGTTAGTAATAGTATCAGGATTTTACTAACTAGTCCTTTCTCCACACACCCACCACCATCACTACCAAGCATTCTTCCTGATCCAGCTTTTCCTAAGTGTGCATTCCTAATCAGTAAGAGGTCTGACAATTAAGTTCGCAAACTCATCCTAGAAAAAGTGCTATATATACCTCATGCTGAATATCACTGCGGTCACCTTCAAAGTACTCCCCCTTGGGAAGCTATGCACTGATGCCATTGCCTAGTCCACCCTTCAAAGCAATTTTGGAACTCTTTTCCTGGAATAGCTATCAGAGCTGTCATTGTATTACCCTTGATGTCCTGAATGTCATCAAAATGTCTTCCTTTCAATATTTCCTTTATCTTCAGGTAAAGAAAGAAGTCATTGGGGGCCAGATCAGGTGAGTAGGGAAGGTGTTTCAATACAGTTATTTGTTTCCTGGCTAAAAACTCCCTCACAGACAGTGCCGTGTGAGCTGTTGCATTGTCGTGAAGCAAGAGCCATGAGTTGTCAGCAAACAGTTCAGTTCATCTAACTGTTTCACGCAGCCTTTTCAGCACATCCAAATAGTAAACTTGGTTAACTATTTGTGCAGTTGGTACAAATTCATAATGAATAATCCCTCTGATATCAAACAAGGTTAGCAACATCGTTGCAACAAGTTCGCGAACTTAATTGTCAGACCTCATATATTATGTATTTCTTTGATTACATGTACATTTGTTCTTCCTGTTAGGCTGCTTATGCTTATAGGCAATACAGAACAGTGGTTAAGAACACAGACAGTGAAGTCAGACTTTGTTACTTACTAGTCATGTCCATGAGCAAGTTACTACACTTTTCTCAGACTTAGTGTCTTTATCCACAGTGTGTTAATAGTATCGACATTTCAAGAGACTGCTGTGAGTATTAAATGAGCTAATACATATAAACTGCTTACAACATTTTCTGGCATAAAGCTTTCAGCAAGTATTAACTACCATTATTATTAAGAAAAAAAATGATAATTGCTTCTTGACATATTCTCAAATGACTGTGGTAGTTATGATGGTGAAAATAATACCTTACCTGTGCATGGAATAAGTTAATACATATTTGGACATTCAACACATACTTGACTCCCCAAAGGAGACCATGGTCCTTCTTTCTTGTATAATTTCTTGGTAGGCTTTCTCTCAGACTGGAGGATGCTATCTTACCTTTGTTTAGGGACCCCACAGGCTTTCAGTGACCTTACAGATGACCAGGCTTCAATGGGTGTCCCACCCCACGAGGAGGAGACCAGCCCAATGGGATACTGCAAAGTGTCATACAGGTAACGCCCAAAGAGCCAGCATGTTGCTGACATGTACTCGAAATCTCCATGGCCTAAGTTTTCTGTTCAGAGAAACAGTTAAAGAAAAAGAGTCAGGGGAAAAGGTAGATAGATACAAACTGTAGGTACGCGACGGGTCTAGGTGAGAAAAATAGACGTGGGTCATCCCTTGCATTCCTTTCTAAGAATGTCCAAAAGTAGGATAAGATTGAGAGGCAATTGTCTCATTAGCAGAGAGCCAAAGCTCCCCAGCCAGGCAAGGATGCCCTCCCCCATCCCTTACAGGTTTCTGAGAACCCAGTAATATTAATAGTCCTCCTCAGTAGGAGGAGACATTGCGTCCCTATAGTACCCTCACCTACACTTCTCTTACCTCACCATTCATCCCCGCTTAGCTCTGTGGAAGGGAATAAGCAAGCAGGGAGCATATCGAGAAGAAATGTGTATTTTCTTTGGGTAGTTTTATACCCAATTTGCCAGCTATGATAATGAAAATGTGGATAAATAAGTGATGGGAGTTTGGCCAAAAGGGAAAGCAACAAAAACCAAAACCAGCATTTGAATCAGCCCAGTAACCAACAAAGACCAGAGTGGGAAATTCCCACGTTAGAAGAAAGCTGATGAAAGGGCAATACACACACACACACACACACACACACACACACACACACAATTGATGGGATCATTTGACCTAATACTATTAAAGGACTACTTACTATGTATAAGTCACTGGCTTGGCATTATTAGAGATCCAAATTCCATACAGTTCTGGCACTCAAAAAGTTGATCGTGTAATAGTGGGAATTCAAGTCAATTAAAATCAACTGAACACCTACTAAGTGCCAGGCACTTCTAGATGGTAAAGTAAAGAGATATGGAGAAACATGTACCCTCTCCTCACAGGTCTTACATTCTACAGAGTAAGACATCTATTCAGTTGAATAAAATACATGGCGAAATATGGTTAAGTGCCTCAAGAGGTAAAAACAAGTATTAAGGCATTTTAACTGCAAAAGAAAGAATATCAAATGAAAGGCAGATCATAAAAAGCCTAATAAAGACTGACCTCCTCCCCGGTACTTTCATAATACTCTATGCATAGTGTTCCCCTTACCCCACTAAAATATTAGCTACTTAAAGGCAAGGAATTCATCCTATTCCGTGTCTGGTACCTAACAGAGGGTCAGTAGATGTTCGCTGGCTGGTGTTGGGTGGCTGTGCGTGGCTGGTATAAAGTTGGATTCATTGATGGGCAGGTAGAGAGAAAACAGAAGAGGGAAGGGGAGAGGGGTGGGGAAGCCTTGGAGGACAGACAGGAGTTTAATAAGCAGAGCTGGCATTCCAGACAGAAGAAACAATATATTAAAAGGCACATAGGCTAGGAAAAATTTTAAAAGTGTTTGACTGGAGCATAGGTTACAAAAGGAACATAAGACTGGAGGGGAGGCTAGAGTTGCATTGGGGAGTAAAGATGGAAAGTCACTTGAAAATGCTTGCAAATGAGATGGTGTGTAGGCAGAACAGGGCCAAAATGTCCACACCCTAATGCCTGTAATCTGTGAACATATTACCTTTCATGGCTAAAGGGACTTTGTAGGTGTGACTGGGGTTAAAGGACCTTGAGACGGGAGATGGTCCTGAATTATTCAGGTGGGTCCAATCTAATTACATGAGTCCTTCAACTCAGGGAACCTTCCCAGCCACTGACAGAAGAGGCAGGAGAGACAGGAAACGTGAGCGGACTAGGCCTACTGAGCTCTTCCCCGCTTATCTGCATTGTCTCACCTCTTTCAGGTTATTACTGAGAGGTCGCTTTTCTCAGGACTTCCATGGCCATTCTAAACTGGAAACCACTACCCATCCCAGGCCCAGGAGTCCCTGCTGCCCCCTCCCAATTTATTTTGTCTCATTAGCACACATCACCATCTAACCTATCCCTTATACCTCCAAATTTATTTGGTTTCTGAAGTCAGGGAGTGAAAAGCAGCTGACAGCAAGGTACAAACGCATTATCCAAATCTAATGGATTCCTAAGTTTTGGATAACATGTAGTGAGAGTTCATAGACCAAAAGATTCACCCAAAAATTTACCAAAGTAAATTTAGTTCCCAGGTTTTTATAGGGAGAGTTCAGATAGTGTGATACTGAATCGTATCAGATACTTTATATACAATTTACTAATTGTATTATTCATTTTCTGTACTTCCCTGCCCTAGAATGCAAGCTCCATTGTATCAAGAGTTCTCGCCTGTTTTACTCACTGCTATACCCCCAGCACTGAGACTCATGCCTGGCACTTAGAGGCACTCAAATATTTGTTGAATGAATACTTGAAAATGTAGGCGCAGTTGAGGTTGCCAAGGTAAAGCATGTACAGAGAAATAAGAAAAGGCTCTAAAAAGAGCACAGGGGCCAAATGTGGAGGAAGGGATGGAAGAAGGCCAAGGCACAGGCAGAAGGCAGAGGAGGAGGCAAGGGAAAGGAAGCACCACGCGAGCAAAGAGAAATGTGTGGTTCCTAAAAGGGGTGGTCAGCAGTGCCGAATGCTGTAGAGGTGTCCAGCATGTAGAATTAGAAGAATAGTAGTCACTCAGGTGAGAAAGTTATTGAGATGGAAGCAGAAGACGGATTATAAAGGGCTAAAGCATCAGCACGTGGAAAGGCAGTGAAAAGAATGAAAACAAAAGATGTTCTAGAAAGGTTTAACAAAGCAAAGGGGAGAGGTAAGGCACCTTGAGAAGGGCGTTTGTTATATTTAGCTTTGCTTTGTTTCATTACAATAAAAGAAAAGCTAAGCTCTGAGAGTAGGGGCTATGTCTGTCTTGCTCACTGCGGTCTCCTCAGGGCCTAGCACAGAGCCACACAGAGCAGGCGTGAAATGAAGATTTCCAGCTGAATGGTCAGTGGGGTGAGAGAACCGAGCCTGAGGGACCAAAGAGGCCCTGGAGCAAGTTAAGAGGTAGCCATGAGAGGACACCAGTCAGTGGTGTTCAGACAGGGAAACAAGGGAAGAAAGAAAAGGAGAAGAGAGCGCTGAGGAGAGATGCTGGCAGACCTCATGCTGAACGGCCTCAATGCACTGGGTGACGCTGAAGGAACCGTCATCTGCTCATAGCAAGGAGGAAGACTCACTGGTGGAACCTTGGGAATAAGCCTATGGATTGGCTACCATCAGGAATGGGGCAGAGAGTCAATTAAGAAGTGAAAATAAAAAGGATGGTTGGATCATAATCCTGAATGGTTTATGGAATCAGGATGACAGATTCCACCTGGGGCACTAGCCCTGTGTATAAGAGATGGCACATGTTCCGGCAATCACTTACTTGAGGTGGGCTTAGACCACTGCAAGTCAACCTCAGCGAGGTCCTCCAGCTCCTGCTCTGCTTGAACGAGAGACGCAACGAAGATGCGGACAGACTGATAGGCGGCGGTGTTAGACAGCTCGCGTGTGGCATTAAATATCTAAAAAGAAACAGGAACTGTCATTTCTTAGACCACCCTGCTTAGCGGGTTGGTCAACTATCCTACTGTGTCTGAAATACTAACCACCCTCTGAGCTCCTTCTGAGCCTCCAATATACCAAGATCAAATGAATAATCAAAACCAATGATGGGCTGGTGTGAGTCACCTTGATCCACCTTGACCAACAGAAACCGTGATGAACCATGTCCCCGAAGAAGGCAGGAATGCAGTGAAACCTGACATCTCAAGGAGCAAGTATGTATTAGATGAGAGAAGCCAAGCAGTGATTTGGCCTAAAGAAGTTTGACTCTCAACCAGACCACTGTGATATCTTGAAAATACTTCTATTTGGGAAAAGTACCTGATAACATAAAGCCATGGCATTAACGTCTTTGAAAAATGGAGCTCAAAAGGCCGTAGGGAAGTAGATTTGTGTAATCCATACAACATCAGAGAAGTGTACCCAAAAGAAACACAAATGAGAAATGATCGTTGAACTACTGAAACATACTGAAATCAGTCTCAAAATGCTTATGTTCTCCTCTGGGTCCCGGCAAATCACCAAAATAAAGCTTGGAAGACATGGTAATCTGAAAGGTAGTATTAACAGTGACTGCCGAGAACAGTCCCAAGAAATGAGACAAAGAAAAGGGTCCATCCAAAAACACATCGCTTTTTCTCAAATCACTCTATGAACCCTTGGCCACTGCTGAGAGTGTGACAGGAAGGGTTTGGGGTTTTTCTAGACAAGAATGTGTATGCTTCACTGAGCAGATCTGTTGTTGGTCCTATTGGGCATCATTCCTCTATGAGCTTACACATAAGTGCTATTTCTTTTCATTCTGATTTTTTGGGGTTTTTTTAATTTTAAAAAAGAATGTATTGTAAATACGTTGTTTTGCTTTATTTGTGTTTGTTTGTTTGTTTGTTTGTTTGTCTGTCTTCTCTCTAACCCCTCGGGTTAGTCTGGCTTTCCCAAAACAAAGAGCTAACAGGAGCATCGAAGCCCAGTTATCACTGGCCTCAGGGAACACGCACTCCAGCTGAGGCAGGACTGTGGTGGCAAGATGCACAGGAGGCTGGATACCTTCCATTGGCCGCAAGCTGCAGAGTGTGCAGCTGGCTCGCTTTCCCTCCTGCCCACCACAGAGACTACAGCTGGCCCTCCAGCCCACAGTGTAAGAGAAACGATGGCGCAGCCAGGGTGCCCCCCACAGAACACTTCACTGAAATACACTGCCCCCTGAATCGCCCTTTCACTTGCCACCGAGCCTGCTGTGGCCAATACGATGGCCAGATGCAAATGAATGGCTCTGTTGGTCACAGCGGGAGCCTCAGCCTGAAATGCTCCCTCGTGGCAGCAGCTCTAGCCTGTCTTTCCACTATCAGGACACAGAGTACATACGGTAGCAGGAAAATTCCATAGGAAATCCAGATCTGTTTGTTCAGGATCCTGCCTGGCTAGTGTAATGTAAAAGAAACATGAAAGAGTAAGAACAGGCTAATGCACTCACAGCATATTCTGGCAGGGGGATTATTTTTCAGCAGCAGCTACCTGTAAAGAGTCGCCTCCCTTGAAATTCAGTTCTTCACTAAGCGCTAACAATCGTCTGCTGCTTCCATGGAAACAGTGGATGGAACTGCTTCCATTCTTGCCACCCACACTCGCTTCCGCACTGACTGGGAACTCAAGTGCCTCATCTCATGATGCCAGCTTGGGGAGGCAGCATGGGGGAACGCGCCACTTGTCTTTTGGTGCTAACACTGTCGAGTACAGCAAGGCCAACAGGTCGGGGTGGCTGCTGGTCTCCTAAATTATTACCAGCACACAGACGGGATCCAAAACACTGGCTGAAAAACTGACATTTTCAAACTCACATTTGTGTATTATTCCAAGTCAAACTTGAAAGCCACAGAAAGTGTTAACAAAAATGGGAATGGGGGAAAATTCTTCCTGTACCTGATGACAATTGCTTGTTGGGATCCTTTCCCAATATCACCAAGCCTTTTTGATGGAAGCATTTCCTCGGGGATATCGGCAGCAAACTTAGGAATAAAGAGATTTCAGGAAGATTTTCATTTAAATGACACTTGGTTTCCCTGCTGATGAAAGGGGAAGCCTTACTCCATCTGCTGAGATCAAATTTCATCTCATCAAACACCTCAGTGTAATTATTTTTCTACCAAGTATTTAAATGAGGATGTAAATGAATACCGAGGTATTTGAAGTCATTAAGGCTGCTGCGGCTGAGAGGGAGCGCTACTGCCTCTCTGGGGACCGGCAGTTCACCATCAAAGCAGCTGCTCACCGGTGTTCATTTTGTAACCTTTACACCACATTCTTGAATTAATGAAGAGACGTCAAGAATCTATTTCCTCAGAGAATCTTGGCATGGGGTCTGCATGGGGAGCAAGACATGTGTATGACTGTGTGTGTGTGTGTGTGTGTACGCACACATGCACACTAAAGGACATAGGAAAACTTTACTTAAAAGAATTTGGATTCTGGAAGTTATTTTACCTTCTACTACAGTATATTTTAGCTGTTTTAAATAAGCCATCCATCATAACTCCTGTGAATCTTTTATTGTGATATGCTACCAAGCCTTCTCTTCTGGGTTTTAATTTCTCTACTTGTAAAGTAGGAATGTGGGGATTGCTAAAATATTGAAAAATGGGTTTCCTGTCTAACATTGGGCATCTTCTTCTGAGCTTAACTAGAAATATCCAAGTCTTAAGACACACCCTGTCTTAGGAGGAGACAGATGAACATTTAGACTTTTCTCCATTTATAAACATCTCCCTCAGTGTTATAAATAACACTCAATTTTAAAATTCCACTTTACCCTAACAAGATGGCCATACAATCTGCCATTTCCTTCATTTGAATGTGAAGAGTGGTAGGTTATAGTAGAAATCTTATCTCCTCAGAAAAGTCACATGGGGGGAGGGAAGGAAAAAGAAAGAGACAGACACCGAGTGTGTGTGTGTGGGGGGGGGAGAGTCTTTAGGAGAAAAGCAACAAAAGGAATAACGGAGGAGTCACATACAGCATCCTTTTGATCAAAAATAAAGTTCTACAGAACGTTAAGAGACTAAGAAAACTTGGCCTTTGGTACTGTCAGCACCTAAAATGCCGTCATACAAACTAAGTGCATGATTTAAAACCAAAAAATAAAAAAATTAACACTTGGCTGTGCCAGATGGAATCTTTTTTCTATTTCCCTATATCTTAGAGCTTATAGCCTTTGTTTAATAAAGACGATGCTAAAGAGTAAATTCTAGCCAGAAAGAATGTGTTCACTCTTAACAATCAAAATCTGACTTCACTTGACAGAAAATGGGATGAGATCCACTGGCATAAATTGCTATTGAGAACCTGACTTTATAAATACAAATAGATCTGGTCCATGCCTTTCTGTGTAAACAGAGAAGTGCAATTAAAGCATTAGGAAAGTACTGTTTTCCTTAATGAGTTAACAGCAATCCCACTTCTATACAAAACCATGCTTTCTATCAAAAGCTAGAACTTCAATTTTGTTTCCATTTACTTATGCTAAGAGGGAGCCCAGTTAAAGTTCACTTTAATAAACATTCAAATTCAAAAGGTTTCCATATATTTAAGTAGGCCAGGAAGCAAGAGTAAATACCATATTAGTTAGGAAGATATAAACACAAGAATTTAGATTTTGCATTAGAAAACTAATAATGAAATGAAGTAGATAGGTCCAGAGTACGATCTTTTTAGTAGCATTATTTAGTAATCAGTTTAAAAAAAAACAAGAGGGAACTATAAGGGTTAGAAGCAATACCAGCAAAACAAGAAACCATAAAGTATGTGAAAGGACTCAATTTTATAAAATTTTTTTAATTAATTGAGATTATGGTCTAGTCATAGAGATTTTTAAGTCTCAAATTTAGACATTTCTGAAAGACAGAAAAACAGATAAAGAAAGAAAGACAGTAAAATAAAAATCAACTTGAGAAGAAACTGAGTTTTAGAGAAACAGCTAGGGAAGACAATAATCTTTCCAAGTTCTTAACCTATTAAAGGAAACAAATCAAAGTGCACAGAATATATATATTAATGGCAATCAATAGTGCAAATTATTTCTTCCTGAGATCCTTATTTATATAATGTGCCTCTTTATTGTACGCTGAGCCTTTTGATAGATATTTAAGAGATTAGTTAAGTCAATACCAATTTCTTGTTTTTTAAAACTTTCTTTTAAAAATTACAGTTATTTCAGGCTGGCCGACTGGCTCAGTTGGTTAAGAGCTCGCTCAAGAGTGTGAGCTCTGAGCAACAGGGGTGCCGGTTTGATTCCCAGCCCAAGCTGAGTTGCTGCTGAGCAGCCAACAGGTGGCAGGATGGCTCAGAAAAAAAAAATTACATTTATTTCATGCTTAGTATAGAAAAATCAGAAAAATACAGATAAGCAAGGAAAATCAATCCCAATTTCAAATGTGCCAAAGACCTTAACTCATGCTATTTCTCTAGAACTCTGATAGTGAGTGAAAAGACAGTACTGATCTTTCAGCAATATTTTAAGTTGATATAATTTAAATATGTCTATGAACGTGCTATTACACTGTCCAGCCATGATCCTAATTTAAACGAAACAACAATGGTCTCCCTTACTTTTATTTATTTATTTATTTTTATGTATACAATTTTATTGGATAGATGTATGTAAATGTGTAATCATATAATAAAATACACTCTATAAAATAGAGAACACACATGCAAAATATAATTTTAGAGTATATTAGATATGCCATTCGATTGCTATTTTTATTTCTTGCATCCTCTTTTTCTTTTATTTTTAAATGAACAAGGCAATGACAATTCTGAAGCCCAAAGCACTAACCCCATCACACCCTATTCAGAAATCCACTCTCTTTATTCTAGACTGTTTTTGTGTTTAATTAGAAAGTAGAGCTGATCCCCAAAAGAAATCTGAGCGCTAAAGACATATAGCACCAAAGCTTTTGTTCTACCACAGATGCCTTGCTAGAATACCACTCAAACTATTAAGAGGCTTTCTTCTCTTGATAACTTTTCCAATGTTCTTTTTATCCAGCTTTACTTAAGAGACCTCGCTCATGGTCTATGAGACCAGCCTTATTCTCCAATAGCAATGGAGACAGGAACACTTCAAGGGGAGTTTCATCACTGACCAACATATCGGCAAGTCAGCATTCTCTGGATCTGTCCCACCTGATTCTCCATATATTGTAGGCTGCGTTCCCTACTTAGGAGCCTACATAGAGCTCTTGCTCCCAACACTCTAGCAGGGGAAAAAGAGCCCAGGAACCTCTGTATATTCATAATAAAGGGAAAAAAACACTAGGTCTCAAAATTTAAGAACAATTAATTTTCAAAGGCAATGGCTGAAATAGAGAAAAAAAATTGACATGAATGAAAGAAAACCATAGACTATGAAAAAGTTGAGCCAAAAACGTCATCACTGGCCTATTATTTCTTTCTTCTATGTAAATAAAATATATATACATGTTAATTTGATATATGAATATTTATATATCGATTTGATATATGACACCTAATTGAAGTATTGAAATATTAAGATATCTGTAGCTTACCTTGAGATGGGTCACCAAAAAAATAAATAAATAGATGAACCAAATATGGCAAAATATTAACAACTGTCAGTCCAGTTGATAAGTATATAGGCGTTTATAAGTCTCTTAACTTTTGTGTCTGTTTGAAATTTTTTTATAATAAAAAGTTGAAAAAATAATGACATATTTAGACAGCAGTTTTCAATTTATAAGGGCCTTTCAGAGGCAAACAAAATAATTTACTCTTCCATGATGGTCCTGTAAATTAGTTAGGTCAAATATAATCACTGTACCATAAAAACTAAGCCTCAGACATTTAACAAAATTCAACATACTTTCATGAGAGAAAATTCCTCCACATGATAAAAGGCATTTATGAAAAGACCACAGGTAATATCATACTCAGTGGTTAAAAAAAACCTGAAAACTTTCCCCCTAAGACCAGGAACAAGACAAGAATATCTGCTCTCACCTCTGCTATTCAACATTGTACTGGAAGTTCGAGCCAGAGCTATTAGACAAGAAAAAAGAAATAAAAGTCATCCAAATTGTAAAGAAAAGGGATAAAACTACCACTAACCACAGATGATATACTTCTATACATAGAAATTCCAAAAAAATCCAAAAGAAAGCTACTAGAGCTAATAAATGAATTCAGCAAAGTTTCAGGGTACAAGGTAAAAATGCAAAAATCATTTGTTTCTATATACCAGCAACGAACCATCCTAAGAGGAAAATAAGAAAGAAATTCCATTTGGAATAGCATCTAAAAGAATTAAATACTTGGGAACAAATCTAGTCAAGGGGGTAAAAGATCTGTACACTGAAAACTATAAAAAAAATTGCTGAAAAAAATTAAAGAGGATCTAAATTAATGGAAAGAAATCCCATGTTCATGATAGGAGTTAAAATGCCAATACTACCCAAAGCATCAACAGATTCAAACACAATACCTATCAAAATTCCAAAAGCCTTATTTTCAGAAATAGAAAAGCATATCCTCACATTCATAAAGAATTGCAAGGGATCCTACCCAGTCAAAACAATCTTGAAAAAGAAGAATGAAGTTGGAGGATACACACTTCCCAACTTTGAAACTTACTACAAAGCTACAGTAATTAAAACAGTATGGTACTGGCATAGGGAGAGACATATAAACCTATAGAATAGAATAGAAAGCCCAGAAATAAACCCTCATATATATGGTTAATTGATTATTGACAAGAGTGCAAAGACCACTAATGGGGAAAGGACAGTCTTTTCAACAAATGGTGTTAAGAAAACTGGGTATCCACTCACAAAAAAAAAGAAATAAAGTTAGACCCTCACCTTACACCACATATCAAAATTGACTCAAAAGGGAATAAAGACCTAAACTTAAGAGCTGAAACTATAAAACTCTTAAAAGACAACACTGGAGAAAATCTTCATGACATTGGATTTAGTAACAAATTCATGAATATGACACCAAAAGCACAGACAAAAAAATTTAAAAATACATAAATTGGACTTCATCAAAATAAAAACTTTTGTGTATCAAAGGACACCCTCAAGAAAGTGAAATGACAACCTACAGAATAGGAGAAAATATTTTCAAATCATAGATCTGATAAGTGATTAATATCTGGAATATATAAAGAATTCCTACAATTCAACAACAAATAACCCAATTCAAAAATGGGTGAAGAACATGAATAGGCATTTCTCCAGAGAAAATATACAAATGGCCAATAAGTACATGAAATACTATACAACATTAGTCATTAGGGAAATGCAAATCAAAACCACAATGAAATACCGCCTCACACCTACTAATATGGCTATAGTAAAAAAAAAAAAGGAAAGTAACGTGTGTGAGTATGTAGAGAAATTGGAACCTTTGCATATTTCTGGTAGAAATGTAAAATGGTACAGCCACTATGGAAAATGGTTTGGTAGTTCCTCAAAAGTTAAACAGAATTAACAGGTGACCCACCAAATCCAATCATAGGTAGATAACCAAAAGAGTTGAAAGCAAGGACTGGAACAGGTATCTGCGTACCAGTCTTCATAGAAGGATTATTCACAATAGCCAAGAGGTGGAAATAACCCAGGTGTCCATCGACAGATGAATGGATAAAAAAAGGTGGCATACAAAACAGAATATAATTCAGCCATAAAAAGGGATAACATTTTGATATGTGCTACAACATAGATGGACCTTGAAATATTATGCTTGAGTCAGACACAGAAGGACAAATATTGTATGATTCCATTTATACGAGGTACCTAGAATATGCAAATTCATGGGAAGAAAGCAGATAGAGGTTATAAAGGGCTGAAACAAAGGGGGAAGGGGGAACAATTGCTTAATAGGTACAGAGTTCATGTTGGGGATGATGAAAAAGTTTTGAGTACAGATAGGGTGATGGGTACACACAGCACTGTAAATATTTTTAATGCTAAAGAATTGTACATTTATCAATGATTAAAATGATAAATATTGCATTCACGTAAACACATTTCTTTAAAGCATGTTTTAAAAACAATCTAAAAAATTCCAATTGATCTGCTCCAAGCCATATCCTAGTAAAGGGCAAAGCCAACGTTCGGTCTCAATTTTTGAATCTCCATGACAACAAAAGATATATAGTATATTAGCTGCTCGGCTTTAAAACAAAATCTAATTGTTTTGATTTCCTAGGCTCTCACCAGAAGGTCATCTTCTAATGCCAATCCAAAGGAAGAGTAATCTACTTTGTGGTCGATTTGTGAAGAAATCTCCACTACCATTAGATAGGCTCTAGCTTCTGCCCTCAACGTAGCCCAGAGAGGTGGGAAAAGACATGCCTGGCGCCTGACAGCACACCAGCCGTGATTAAGACGGCAGGCCCTGGAGTTGCATGACCAGTTCATATCCTGGCTCCACTATTCACCGTGACCTTAGGCAGGTAATTTAACTTCAGTGGGCCACTTGCCTAGTCTGTGAGATAGGAATAGGAAGCAGCACTTACCTCATAAAGCTGTTACATCAAATTAATTACTATGCGCAAAGCACTTAGAACAGATCTTGGCACATGGTCAAAAAGAAGGTATCTACCTTCTTCTCCTCCTTGCCCCTCGCTCCTCCTTCTTTTTCTCCTTTTTCATCGTCAACATTATTTATTATCACTGAGACTCTGCAAATTACCTGTGAAACCGTCATCTCCATGTTACTCTGCCCACTGCAAAGCCAGACATCACCAAATAAGACATCATGAACGCTCAGGGTTATGTTCATTCCCCCAAAAGTCTGTTGTGCCATGACTTTATAAGGTCCACCAGGCTTCATAGGATCCAGTATCACCATCCAGCTATTGGAGTATGCTGAAATAATAACAAGGCTCCAAGGAATTAGTCAATCAATTAATCCAAATGAAATTAAAGCCCAATCCTGTCATGCGTCATACTCATTTGTGGCTATTCCCAGCTTCAGTGATCAACTGAAATCAAAGCTATGAAAACTGGCCAAGTTTCAGACAAGCAAATAGAAATAACAAAAGCAGCCACATTTCTATCCTTAATCTGTACCAATCCCTCCTTACTTTTAACTGAAGCACGTATAAGAAAAATAAATTACCCAGTTATAATCCTAAATGAGGACAGACAAAAACACAAAGAGATAGGGCCGGCCGAGTGGCGCGATGGTTAAGAACTGGCTTGGGACACCAGAGGGCCCTGGTTCGGATCCCACATATGGGGGCCAGTGACATTGCCCTCCAAAGCTAACATGCTGAACAACGGCTCAACCTGGAGCTGGGCTGCCGTGAGTCGCCGGCCATGGCATAGGCTGCAGCCCCTGTGGCAGTGGGTTGCCATGGGCTACCGTATGTAGCCAGCAGCCAGCGTGAGCGGCCAGCAGCCGCAGTGAGCAGCTGTCCAGAAGCCGGCGACTGATCTGCCTCACCTGGGAAGAGCGCAAAAATGGTGCCAACTTGGGCCAGTGAAGCAACGTCCTCCACAACTAGACTGAAGAACAAAAGGACAGCAACTTGTCTGTTCCCCTTCCCCCGATTCCCCAGCACTGTTCCCATCCCCCCAATTCCCCAATAAAAAAATCTTTAAAAAAAAAAAAAAGAGTGCGAGCTCTGAGCAACAGGGTCTCCGGAAAAAAAAAAAACACCACACACACACAAAGAGATTAAAATGCAAGGGAGTTTAATAAAAAAAACAAAAAAACAAAATAAAAATTCTTATTATATTAGCCAACTGTCAATATTAACATAATCATAATCTAATAGACTTATACAGTATCCTAAATGTGAGCTCAGGTTAGAGAAAATAATTTATAATCTGAAATTTCCCCTTACTTGATGGTATCATCCTTGTCATCAATGCCCCCCACCTTCTCCCCACATTGCTACCAAGAATTAATACTAGCAGTGGTGCTGGGTTCTCCTATCAACACTTAAACAGGTGGGTGGAGAAACTGACACATAAAGAAGTAGTGGGGGGCATATAAATTAATCTTTCTGTGAAGAAGATTTTTAGACTTTTCCAATTAATTATTTTCACAGGGTTATTTACCAGACTTAAGGTTTTCAGGCTAAATTAAGGAGATGAAAAACTATCCAAGAAAGACCCTGTTTCAGAAATTCATTGCATATTCTTAGGAACCACCCCCCTCCCACCTTCCTACCTCTCACCCACTCATACCACCACCCCTGCAAACATCATACTCAGAAACTTCAGGAAAATGTCTTCAAAATGGCAAAATTATGCCTAGGAGAACCAAACAACACGAACAAAGTTGAAAAAAATGAGAGTGAGAACATAGCTAAAATAAGAGAAATGATCATTTAAAAATAAATCTTCTTTGGATAATGCAGAAGAATAGGTATTGATTTATAATTTGTGCCCATCAGATCCATGTAAATTTAAAGGAAAAGTAATGTTAAGAACTGGAAATGGAGCACCCTAAAGTTATTATTATACCAGCCTGTACAAAATAATTATAAAAATACTATCCAGGTGACAATTATGTGCTAAACAGCGTGCTAAGTTCTTTCTTATCAGCAAGAGCTAAGCAGAAGCATAAGAAGTCTGGATGCATATCAGGAGTTCAGTAAAAGTTCAAACTATAAAGGATTGCTCAGTGTGGGGGAAAATGTCCCAAACCCCCCAGGCATCAGTGAAAGGGTGCATGTTTGCTCCTCTCTAAAGCACAACCCACTGAGCTTGCTCCTCCAGCCCTAAGTGGCCAATTAAGCCCAGGACCAAATGTTTGCTATTGTTTTTAAACCACTAATAGCTAGACATCAACATATTAAATGTATAATTCACCTAAAAGTGGAAAAATCACTGTTTTGGAAACAGTGGGCAGCTAGTACAGACTGTGTCGCACAGGTGCGTGTGCTCTGTATGGCTCACACTTCTGAGCAGGCAGACACTCCAATCTGTCCCAAATGCAGTCTTGCCAAGGTCTTCCCAGGCTTCTTGCACTGACATCTCTTACTGGAGCTCTGTCCTGCTACCAACATCACTCATTTATAATGATGAAGTCAACCCCCAGAAAACCTAGCACAGAACTATTTTTTAGCCTTCTACGACTATCCCACCCGTTCCTCGTCACTGCTGTTGACTCGGCATTTACACTTCACCTCAAGTCTGGCAACATGGCTGGTGAAGAAAACGGCCTTCACGAGAGCATCTGAAAGTTTTGCTGCCCAGCCATAAAACGACAAATAAGGGAAGGGGGACATTTGGGCAAAACATGACAATACCATCCTATGACAGAGGATGAGCTCTCTCCACGGCGGTGAAAAGAACTACAAATCAAGGCCTGAGCCTTATTCCCAAGAATCGTTCTCCCAAGAAAACCTGTCAGCTCACTCAAAGACCTTGGAGAATTTCCTTCTGTCCTAGTCCTCCAGTTCTTTTCCTTTCTAGCTTTTCCCCTCCCCTACTTTATAGAAAAATAAACTCTGATACAGTAGCGAGTGTTAAGTGAAGTTTAACTGCCAGGCGGGGCAGGGGAAATCAGATCCGCTATAGAAAGGTGCCTGTCTGCCTGAATTTATCATCATGATTGAGGTAAACAGATACATTTTCTCTAACTTAGGAAAATACAAAAAGATTAAACCTCTTAGAAAAATAAAGTCCACTAGGCTGAGTCCATATAATAAAACTGAGTCACTGACCACAAAGAGTTGAAGTTCACCAACCGGCGGACTTCCTGCTGATTCTGGTGGACTTTCCGAGCAACAGTTGTTCTGGTTCCTTCTTCTGGGCCCTAATCACGTGCTATTTTGTAACCTCATTTCCCAATACAGGCGTAGGTTTCTGTAGATTTTTCTTCATATTCAAAACTCTGCTTCCTCACATTCTTTTCTTCTCCCATCCAGGAAGATTCATCTCTTTTCTTCATTACACAGCTACTTACAGTGCTTACTGTGTGCCAGGAACTCCATCATGTAAATGGCAGAAATACACCACCCCACACCCCCAGGGTTATACTGACAGAAACGCCTTGCAAACTGACTAGGACTGTGTCTTCTCATGTGTAATGGTTAGCATACCCGGTGGCCTATTTCTTACTGTTCGTTTTCTCTTCAAATTCCAGCCAAAGGCACAGGTAAAGAGCTCTCTATCTCCATTTCCTTTTTGTCTCCCTGACCAACCCTCATCTCAAAATGAGAAGAACAAACAATTGAAGAGAAAAAATTAAAATAATTTGTCTAGAGACATGATTAGTCATAAAGTGCTTTCTCTTTTCTTTTTGCTATTCACATCAGATGTTAATTATTTTTCAGGTTGTTGTGCCAAATTTCAGATGCCAAGAACAGAAAAAGGAAAATCATCCACAACCTTTCCCTTCCCAAGAGAAAAAACCTGGAGCTGAAAAAAACTACCCTGTTCACTTCTTCCCCTACAGAGCCCTGGCACTTCACCAGCTGCAAATCGGTTCAGTGGTTTATGGAAGTGACTTGGAAGTAAAGAGGCTTTACTGCTCAAACTGCCCCTTTCCGACCTGTGTTTATTCTGTGTAATATTCATTTCCACCGCCACCAAATATAAATGTAAAAAAAAAAGTAACTTTCTGTCAATAAAACTGTTTATGTAAGTTACTTAAACTGTAGCATGCTATGGTAGACACACCCTAAGGTGACCCCCGCAATAAGTCACCCCCTGGTATAATCCCCTCCCCTCAAGTGCAGGCAGAGTCTGTGATTTGCTTCCAGACAACAGAAATGGCAAAGGGCATGAGGCTCATTTTCATGATTAGGTTACATTATATGAAAAGCAAAATGGGTTTTGCAGATATGATCAAGTCCCGAATCAGCTGACGTTAAGCTACTAAAAAGGAGTTTATCCTAGGTGGGCCTGATATAATAAGGTAAGCCCTTTAAAAGAGCTTCTAGAGGTCAGAGGTCGGAAGCGGCTGAGAGATGGCCAGGAAAACCCTACAGGCACAAGGAAATGCATCTGCCAGCAGCATCTGAGAGCTTGGAAGTGGATCATTCCCCAGTCGAGCCTCTGGATGAGAGAACACAGCCTGGCTGAAGCCTGGATTTCAGCCGTGAGACCCTGAGAAGAGCACCCAGCTAAGCAACGGCCAGGCTACAGATCTACAGAAATGGTGAGATAGTAAAAGTGTGTCATTTTAAGCACTTAAGTTTGTGGTAATCTATTATGTAGCATAGAAGACTGGTATGCACGCTAACACTGCAACCAGGAGCTTTTTATTTTTCTAAGGGGTTTAGTTTTTTTGTATTTTTCTAAGTTAAGTTAGGGAAAATAAATGTTTACCTCAATCATGATAAATTCAGGCAGACACAACCTCATTTTATCACCCACATATGCATCCCCCATATGTGTCAAAGTGAGCAGATATGCTATTCTCCCCAATTTTATTCCTTGTGTCTGAATCATCATTCGACAACATGGTTTGAACAGGCCCAGCACCTGACCATAGTCCCAACCATCCCTCAGGTTTTAATGCTTAAGTGTCAGCCTGTGGGACATGTTGTTAAATTCCACTTTGTTGTGGGATTACAGGTAATAAGTTAAAAATTAACAGAGATAGACAGAGTGGCAAACTGAGGTAGTCTAGCTGAAAAACCCCAGAGTCCTCATTAATATTTAAATAGAAGTCAACCCTTCAATACACCCTGCAGTGTCTCTTGTGAGAACCATTTTCTTTCCTGCCTTGTGAAAGTTCCTACATGTCTACCTTTCTTTATTCCAAATAACACTTTATTTATTTTGCTTCATGGGCAGGACAGAGCAAGATGCCCATTGACGTCGGTTTGTGGATCTATACAAACTAAAATACCTTTGTTCTCTACCAAGCAAATGTAGAAAGCCTAAGACACAGATCTACCCCCGCCACCATATCTTTATCTCTTCTAGACAGAGGCTCCTTTGTAGGGACTCTGCGCATGAAGGTTGCTAATTCTCACCTTCTTGACAATCCTCATAGTGACTACCTTGGGTCAAGCCTTCACTGTCTATTGCCTGAATATCATAATAGCTTGTTAAGGCGTCCCACCACTTCTACTCTGATCAATCTCCAATCCATAGTGCTGCCAGAGTAATCCTTCTAAAAAACAAATCTGATTGCGTTATTTTGCTGCTTAAAATCCATTGATCCAAAATATAGTACCCACTCCTTAACAGTGACAAATAAGCCTCCCACAATTCCAACCTTGTCTCTTGTCATCCACCGCTAGTCACGTACCCGTGTTCCAGACAAACCCACCTACTTGCCATTTCTCCAATGACCCATGCTCACTTCTGCCTCCATGCCTTTGCCCAGACTATTCCCTCTTCCTGGCATGCCCTACTCATTTTTCAAGACGAGTCATAAACTTTAGACTAAGTTAATTACCCCTACTAAGCACTCCCATGGCATCCTGTAGTTCCCAACTGTGACACTTATCACACTTAATTGTAATTGCTTATTATTTTTCTATCTCTTCCCCTAACCTATAAGCTTCATTAGGGGACAGATCACATCTGTTTGGCTTATCACTGTATCACAGTACCTAACACAGTGTCTGGCACATAGTAGCCACTCAATAAATGTTTGAGTGACTGACCAAAATAATAACAACAACAAAACAACAGCTAACATTTATTCAGTACTTATTGTGTGCCAGGCACTGTTCTAAGTACTTTATATGTGTTAACTCATTGAATCCCCACAACAATCCCAAATATTATTATTATCTCACTTTACAAATAAATAAATTGTGACACAGAGATATTAAATAACATGTCTAGGGCCGGCCGAGTGGCGCGACAGTTAAAAACTGGCTTGGGACGCCAGAGGGCCCCAGTTCGGATCCCACATATGCGGGCCAGTGACAGTGCCCTCTACAGCTAAGATGCTGAACAACAGCTCAACCTGGAGCTGGGCTGCCATGAGTCGCCAGTGACGGTGTAGGCTGCAGCCCCTGCTGCAGTGGGTTGCCATAGGCTACCGTGTGTAGCCAGCAGCCAGCGTGAGCGGCCAGCAGCCAGCGTGAGCGGCCAGCAGCCGCAGTGAGCAGCCATCCAGAAGCCGGCGACTGATCTGCCTCGCCCAGGAAGAGCGCAATGATGGTTCCAATTTGGGCCAGTGAAGCAACGTCCTCCACAACTAGACTGAAGAACAAAAGGACAGCAACTTGTCTGTTCCCCTTCCCCCAATTCCCCAGCGCTGTTCCCATCCCCCAATTCCCCAATAAAAATATTTTTTTTAATTAAATAACATGTCCAAGGTTATATAACCATTAAGTGAGGGAGCCAGGACCTAAACACAGACAGTGAATTCCAGAGCCTAGGTTCCTAACCACTCCTCCATACTGCCTCTCCTTTATATATGATTCAGCTCATGTGCCCCCTTCTGTATGAACTTTCCCTTTACCGTCCAATCTGAGGTAGATGTTTCTCTTCTGGATCCCATGACACCCCTTATACACCTGCATCATAACAGTTATCACACTGCACTGTGTGAGTTGGTGTCTATTCCCATTATTCCATGAGCTCCTTGAAGACAGGCACTTTGAGTTAGTCTCAGTTTTCTTTGTAACCTCAGTGCCTAACACATGGTAAATACTCAAATAACTTTTATGGATGGATAGATAGATGGATGGATGGCCTGAGCTGGAGCATAAGCATTCATTTCCAGATAATCCAGCAGGTGGCAGAAGAAGACAAAAGCTGAACAGAGGATGGGCAGCCTTACCTTTCACAGAGGTCACTTTCTTCATGATGGTTTCCTGATCTTGGCAAAGAGTCACTGTTACTGTGGCTCCAGGTATGCCATACCCCCAAATCACTGCCCCTGCAGGCTCCTTCTGCAGTACCATGTAATTACCGATGTATGAAGCAAATCGAAAACCAGCATCTAAAAAATTTAGCAAACACTTAGAAAAGCATCCCCAGGAAGATTCATCACTGATTGAATCTGGTTAAACAGCAAGGAAAATACTGTCTTTATACAAGAGAATTAGAATATACCCAGTCCTTTTAAACTTCTAAAACTAGATCTTACTCCTCCTGATTAGGTAAGCAACATAACAAGAACAGTTTCCAACAATATGTATCCCAGTACAAGACAAATAAGGAAAACACGAAGAGCCTTGAGCAACCAATGTGCCCCAGACCTTGTTCCCTTCAGAGCTCTTGATCTGCCTTCGCTCTTAGGCTTGGCCCTAACGCTTGACTCTCTCCCCGCAAATCATTAAAATGCTCCTTTTATGCACCCCATAGACAATGTTTATGAGAAAAATAAACCACTTTCCTTCCCCTACTTTCCATTACCACGCCCACTTCTAGTAGCGGGGAATAAAGCAGTCTTCCCCTGTCCAGCAGGCCTCTCTAATGGTTTTTCTCCTTTCCATCCTACCAGTGTGAATGTCCCTCAAATAACTCCCCTTTTTGTGGGTTTTTGACAACCCACTGAAAATTCTAAACAAGCATTTATGAATGTCTGCGACAAGCCTGCTTCCTTCTAAGGTAAATTCAGACAAATTAAGATGCAAAAAATAAGGTTGGTAAGAGACAGAAGGTCAAAATGTCTGAACAAAGGTCTTTTGACCCCATTTTACCCATTTCACAAGATAAATTATGCAAAAAAGAACAAGAGGAACAGCACTAGAAACTGGGTTCTATTCTAGAGTCACTAACAAGACTGAATAAGAACTCACTTTAACAAGATCAGTCCTATTTTTAACATCCAGCCTATATTGAAGTATTTTATTAATAACAAGTACCTATCCAAATGATCTCAGTGAGTTCCTCATCACAACTTAAAAGGGAAAAAACAACTTAAGTTATATCCCAGTTTGTCTGAACAAAACAGACAAAAATTCATAGAATAAACAAAATTAGGATTTTTCTTTAAAAGGGTTTTAAACAAAAATGATAGGCAGGAAAGAGAATCAGACCTAACAAGGTTGACATTTTCCTCCCTGGAAGCTACAAATGATGACAGCCCCTTAGGCTATACAGAGCAGCACAGCTAATGGGGCCTCCTACACAGAATCGGTGGCCTATTTGTCCTGTGCTTCGAATAACAGCCCCAGTCCCAAAATATCTGCAGCTCTCTTATGAGTTCATTGCATCATGAAACCTACATGACAATCAAAGTTCATCGGGAAGGCCCACTGGGCTGGAGACACACGGCTACCAGGAACAAAATGCTCTAAGAGAGCCGGAATTGCATAAGCACATTGTCAGCCTGCTGGAGGGAAAGGGAGAAGTGCGCCCAGGCGTGTGCATGTGTGTGCGTGTGTGTGTATGTGTGTGTGTGTGTGTGTGTGTGTGTGTGTGTGTGTGTGTGTGTGTAGGCCTTGTCTTGGGTAGGTGCTTCTTATAGAACAAAACTGAAAACCAGGGCCGGCCGAGTGGCGCGATGGTTAAGAACTGGCTTGGGACGCCAGAGGGCCCCGGTTCGGATCCCACATATGAGGGCCAGTGACACTGCCCTCCACAGCTAAGATGCTGAACAACAGCTCAACCTGGAGCTGGGCTGCTGTGAGTCGCCGGCGACGGCGTAGGCGAAGGCTGCAGCCCTGTGGCAGTGGGTTGCCATGGGCTACCGTATGTAGCCAGCAGCCAGCGTGAGCGGCCAGCAGCCGCAGTGAGCGGCCGTCCAGAAGCCAGCGACTGATGTGCCTCGCCCAGGAAGAGCGCAATGATGGTGCCAACTTGTGCCAGTGAAGCAACATCCTCCACAACTAGACTGAAGAATAAAACGACAGCAATTTGTCTGTTCCCCTTCCCCCAATTCCCCATCACTGTTCCCAACCCCCCAATTCCCCATCACTGTTCCCAACCCCCCAATTCCCCAATAAAAATCTTAAAAAAAAAAAAGTCCATAACCTTAATTACATCTACAAAGCCCCTTTAAAAAAAAAAAACAAAAAGAAACCTGAAAACCAAACACTTAAGAGCTAAGCAGAGAGAGGGTGAGGGTAGAGGAATGAAGAAAACTGGCTGCTGCTGGCATATGAGCCCATGCAAATTGAGGGCTCTAGACACGTCTCAGAAGCTGGGGGAAAGGCCTTTCCAAGTCAGTCTGTTTTCCTCAACACACATTTACTGAACCCCTTTGTGCACAGCTCTATTCTGAGTTCAAGAATAGTAGAGGTGGAAAGGATCTTTCACACCCTGCAGTATAATCATGTTATTTACTGTTCACTAGACTGAGACCCAAGTAGATCATGTAATTTAAAAAATAGCTTGAATATTAATTAATTCAAGAAATATTTATTAATGACTATGTCCCAGGTACCATTTTAAGCACTGAGGATATAACAGTGAAAGACCAAAAAAAAAGACCAAATCCTTTCCAGCAGGGAGTTTACATTCATTCTACTGGGGAGCTTCCTTGTGGCAGGCACACTGCAAACATCAAATTCTTTGGCCTCAAATCACATAGGTAGTTTATGACAGGACTGGAAACCAAGCCACTTGATTCCAAAGTTACTGCAATTTCCATTCTGTCACAGTTCAAAACTGGTGGTAAATTCAAGGAAAAGTCATATTCCCTGTCCTTATAAAGCTCACATTCCAAGCTGAGTAGAATAGACAATGGAATACTCCCAAGGAATGGAGCAATGAACAAAACAGGAGAACAAGAAAGGAGATTGGTAACCGCTTTTGTCAAACACAAGACATGCTTAACAATTAAATTTTTACTTTATTTTATTTTTTTTAGGTCTTCAATTTTTCTTTCCTTCATTTGGGTGTTGGAGTAGAAAACCAGGAACTTGTGTTCTGAGGAAGAGACCATCATTAAAAGTAGACTGACAAGGGGCCCGCCAAGTGGCGCGATGGTTAAGAACTGGCTTGGGATGCCAGAGGACCCCAGTTCGGATCCCACATATGAGGGCCAGTGACACTGCCCTCTACAGCTA